CAAGGAGACCGTCATACAAAAGAAATGCCAAAACAGAACAGGACATAGGAAATCAAACAAAGGAAAGATAGGTAAGGAGCGACTTTCGTCCGGTAGCAACCGTGACTATACTATACAAATCCATCCCGAGTCCCGCCGGGCACCGGAGTTGTGGTGGTTTCCCAATTCGAAAGCTCCCTGAGTCGCGGCGCCCGTACATCATGCCTGCGTGCCTGCATGCCCGACAGCCTGAGGCCGCCACAATCATCCCCTCTTCAGTTCCGCATGCTCACTCTCTAGACAGGAAATTTCACTCCCGTCCGATCGGTCAACCGGGGTTGGGACAAGATTCGAGGCAGAGCTCGGGCTTTGGGGTCCTGGTTGAATCGAAGTCGATCTCGCTTCAAGCTGAACAACTTGACCATAGCCCCCATTGCCTGCTCCTCACCCAACTGAATCTTGTCCAACTCTTTGTCACCAACCCCCTCCAACGACAGGTCCTTGACACACGCTGCCACCATCCAGCGAGCCAAAACCTCAATATCCCGCGCATTGCTCCAACACGGGAACATTGAAAGAATCTGGATGGCACGGGTGAACTCACGATGGCTCGGGGTGCGAGGGTCGGTCAAGTAGAGTCGAGGCCCGGGGACCTTCTGCTCCGTCAACCGTCGATCCAGCAGTCTCAGACATTCTCTGGGGGTCGGGTTGCGGAAAATAATTTCCTCTTGGAACAATGCTGCCAGGCGAGGTCGATTGGCGAGCATCTGGTCCATCTCCTGGGCGGGTCCAGCCAGTACCACCACGGTCTGATCCAGATACCGAGGGAGTTGGTAGACGAACTCATCCACCGCATGCTTCGTGGGTCCCTCCACCTCGCCCAAGCGATGCGCATCCTCGATAAACAAAACCCGACCGCGACTACGGTCGAGTTGGGCCGTTGCGCGAATCGCGGTGGGATACATGTGCGGAGCGAGCAGATCGGCAATCGAACAGGGCACCAGCTCACCATGAGACAACACCCCCATTTTGTAGTAGAGGGTCCCAAGCTCGCGGGCGACAGTCTTTTTTCCTGTGCCTACAAACATTGTTAGTATTCACATCTGATCAGTATTGGGTAGGAAACTCACCAGATGCTCCCTTGAACACAAATCCGCAAGGCATCCGCTTGCCCGGGTTTAGCCCTTGCATCCAGGCGATCTTCATCTCGTGGTGATACCGCTTCAGAACAGAAATAATATCGTCAGGGACGATGGAATGGCGTAGCTCCTCGCGGAAGCCCAAGGCGGGTGTACCGCCGACCAGCTCGGGGTTAAAGTCTCTTCCTTCAAGTATACGAGGAATTGACTCGCCCTTTGCGCCGACCCGGGTGCGTCGCTCAAAGTGATATTGCGCCGCTGCCAGAAGATGTTCGACGGCACGGGCGTGGTCAAAGTCCTGGCGCATACGGGCCGTGTCGAGCATGTCCAAAGCGGCTTGAAAGGCGTCGGGAGTGACGTCCAAGTCCTGCTCGCGGAGCTTGCTATGAAAGAGCTCTTCTAGATGATCGCGTGTAAGGGGTGCGAAGCGCACAAGCTGAGTGTCAAGAGCGCGACTCAGACGTGAGCGCGATACGGTCTGATGCAGAATGTGGCTGACGGCATCGTGTGCACCGACCACAACAGTGCAGTGGTTGTCCCGTGGAATCCACAGGTTCTCCAGGGCAGTCGCGTCCAGCGCAGTCTGACCCCGAGACAAATCTTGGCGGTCGGCATCAATGTCGATGACAAGGACACTCCCGTTGTTGCTCTCGACAAGAGTGCGGATACTGTCTGCATCGAGTTGCGAGAGAGCTGACCAGGGTTTGACCCGAACTGTGACATGTTAGTACATATCATTTGCATCAAAAACTTGACTTACCCTCTCCATTTGTCAACAGTCCCAACTCGAGGAGTATCTGCGCATATAACCGAACTGCCGTGCTCTTTCCGGTGCCTGGTGGCCCCGCAAACATGCGATTTACCCTGAGAGGCAGACGACGCTGATTGCGAACCTCCCGGTGGTAGTTCTCCTCGGTCACATCAAACACTTCGTTGATGGACATCTGCAGGGAGTCCTGACCGACAAGCTTCTGCATAGCCGCCCATGCCTCGCTGTGCGCGCGTGTTTGCTCTGGTCGTGGGCCCAGCAGATCGTCCTTGGAGAAGAAGAAGTAGTCTACTTCATCCATACCGCTGTCTTGCTGATCCGCTAGACAGTGAGCCTGGCGCTGCGCGACCGTCTTCACCAGCTCACGCACGGCATGGGCGTTCGTGAAGCCCGAGACGGCGCGCCCGCGCGCCAGTCTTCGAGCTGCTGCCTGAACATAGGGGCCCTCGAGACCACCTTCAACCTGCATGCGACCCTGGTACTCGATTACAATGCGACGAGCGAGAAGCTGGGCGAGGTCGCTACGATCAAAGTCATAGAACCGCAATGTGCTGCAGATCCGTTGCTGCAGACGCGGGTGATCGCGCAGGAAGGTCGTTAGCGCTGACTCCTCGCCAGAGAAGATCACCACTATGCGGCCTTTCTTGCGCTCGAGAGCCTGCAAGACACTTGCAAGAATCTGCTCTGTTGCTTGGGGTGAGATAGACTCTCCCAGCATGTGTGGTTGGTCGACGATAAGAACACCCGCTGTGTGGGCCAACGAATCCACGTCAGCGATACGGTCAATCATCTGCTTGACTTCGTCCGGTCCCTGGCTGGCGAGGTCGAGTCCAGTCGTCTCACACACAGCTTGCGAGTCGCAGATCCCAAGAGCATAGAGCATCTTTGCGTAGATGCGGGCGACGGTAGTTTTGCCTAGAAGGGTCAGCGACAACTCGAACGACTCAACCAGATGATAAGTGACAACTCACCCGTGCCTGGATTACCCACACAGGCCATGTTGTACCATTCGTTTTTGGGGTCACGACCGTGTCGCCGACAGATTTGCACCCAAGTCTGCACACCGCGCAACTGGCGCTTGACGTTCTCGTGGCCGACAAGACTGTCTAGCTCGTCAAGAGCTTCCTGTCGCGCAGTTTCGCGATCCTGGTGGTCGCGCTCCGCCAGCTCCTCGGCGGTTTGCTGAGGGTGTTCGACCATGACGGGTGTATCGGGTGGGGAGGGTGGAAGCTGGGTTTGTGTCGGTGTTGAGGTCTGAATCTGAAGCTGCGGTCGCATCTTCGCTGATTGTGGGGTTTGTGTCTGGGTCTGAGCCTGTGTCTGTGTTTGTGTTGATACTGATTGCTGTGGCTTCTTCGACCATAGCGAGAAGGGGAAGAAAGGAAATCGAGATGTCGCCGATGGGCGAGTCATCGAGCAGTCCATGCTGCGCAGAGGTTTGAGTAGTGGTGATAGCAGCTTCACGACGATTGGAAGCATGTGGAGGGTGTTAAAGAATCACAAGTTCGGATCTTTCAACAGTCAGTCAAGTGTGTGTAGGAGAATTAAGTCTGGGGATTGTTGGCCGTGGACCATGGTTATTATACTGTGTCAGACGTTCGCTGGGCAGCGAAAATCGCCGAGGTGAAGCCAGGCAGGCCATCATCGATAGCACTGAGTTGGAGACCTATGACAGGGCGACAGGTAGTGAAGTGAGTGGTTGGTTCTTTTCCCCGTCGGTTGTCAAAGTGAAGCCATAGATTCACCGCCACTTCAGCCCAACATGAAGGTGGACGGTGCAATGGCCACACCTCCAGGAGAACGACTTTCGAGGAACCAACGAGTCCATGAAGCTGATTCAAGCCTCGAAAACCACAACCAATGTCTTTCCTATACTCTGAAACACGGACAAGTTGAAACAGCAGGGCAAGGACCAGCAGGCGGCCTGTTAGGAGGATGAGGTGGAGGGGATGTCTGGAGATGCGGCACTGCACCAAAACCGCCGGGCCGCATTAGGCGGATGTGGTGATCTGGCTTGGCTGCGCTGGGCCTATCATATTCGTCAAGGTGGCTGCCGATCATTTCCCCGGGGATCCTCGCCTCGGCCAACTTGCTACTTACCTATCTAGGTTACATAGTAGTAGTAAGGTATGATGTCCACTGTATTTTGTTCCTGTCGATGTGGCTCGTCTTGTGAGGCTTACTCCAATACCTTATTTAGGTATACTAGATGTAGTCATCCAATTCATGCGACCAACCAGGCAAGCGATCGCGTGGCGTAATTCCACGATATGCACTGCATGAGAGGGGCTATGTCCCTGATTTTTCTTGCCCCTCTCCGAGAAATGCAGATAAGAGCACTGCCCCCGCCTCATTGATAGCCATGGCGCGCTTGAATCCCAAATTCGCTCGGACCAACACTGCCTCGGCTCTGGTCTGAACAACACCACAAGAGTGGATATCCCACGGAACTGGAAAGGCTGCCCCGTAATCCTTTTGCGCCTTGTCAGTCCGATTGGGCGGTTCCTGAACTCGACTCCTGACTAGGTTGCGGAGCCCAATTCCCCGCGGCGGTCGCATCGTCTGGCGTCAAGCGCGGTTGATGCTCTGGACTTCCACTGCTCTATTCATCGTACCTGTTGGGGTGCATGACCGGATTATCTTGACAGTCATATGGGCTTTGTAGTGGAAGGTATCCGTACATGCTATGTCTAACGATCCTCATTCTCCAAGTAGTCAGTTTCGATTGTATGTACTGGCAGCGCATTTGCTGCTGGTTGCTCTTCTGAGTAGATTCCATGATCATGAGCACCTGATTTGTCTTTGAATGATTTATTGTGTGATACTTTACATCACTGCTCCCGCCCATCCCTGATCGCTCTCATTGCTATTCATCCCTGATATCACCAAGTCCATTGTGACGAAATCCTGAGTGTGGCATATTGCTCACCGCCTCGAATGGTTCTTCGATACTGAGTCCGCAACATCTCACTACTCACTACTTACGGATTCTCAGACTCAAACTCCCCCCTGCTCGCATCTCTCCCCTCTCATCTCTCCCCTCTCACCTTTCCCCATCATGTGCTTATACTGCTCCATCTCTTCTTCCCATCCACTATATGCCCAAATACACCGAGTCCTTTGAATTCTCCGAGCTGCAACTATGACCTCCATCTATCGAGTCCTACAGCGCGACGAAGACAGCTGTGCAGCAAAGTGACCACCGGCCTCTTCTCACTCCGAGCATCAGATCGTTCTCAAGAGCATCACTGACTCAAGATCGTGACTAACGCGTGCTTTAAGCTTGATACACACGGTTCCACATCCTCGATTCTGAATTCTAACCAGCCTGTCGCTACACCTGTATGCGATTCGAACCATGTGAGCATTTCGTGGAGTCGCCTCCACGTCCAGACCCAGTCAATTCAAAGGCACATACTTAACCTCTTCCTGCTGCTACCATTATGGTTAGATATGTCCGAGTATCCTAGGAGAGAGTGTCACATCCACCAGTAAGCCATGCAAAGGTCCTTTGCCCAACCCGTGTCAGTTGCCAAATCGATTGACAAGGTAAAAGGCTGCTCAACACGTCATATCAGACCTGCCTAACTCACTTCTATTGAAAAGTTACCATGTCTCATGGATAAACCTGAATAGTGCATGTAAAGTAAGTCCTCCAGGTACGTTCTTTTCCTTCCATTTTCTCGTTCTTCCACCTTGGAATTCCACACAATCTTTCCCAATTCAACCTCTCTTCATGTCCTGGCGTCCTTTCCTGTCAAATATATCATTCAACCTTTCCACAATCAATACTTCCATTAGCACAGACATCTGGTCAGGAAAGCGGTTCCTGTATGTTTATGAGCCTTCCCATCGTCCCATGATCTTACACTCTTTGCACTGTCTTCTAGAAGTTGCTGCCAACTAATCTTGTCAGCCCCGCAACTTTAGGTACCGTTTTTCTCTCAAATCCGGCTCGAGAACATCCTTCAGATCCATCGTTCCGAGTCCCAAGTTCCTTCGTCAACGGGGTGCAACTTGGACTTTCCTACTCGGTCGCGTTACGATTGAAGCAAAGCCCACGTATGTACAGCCACACTATTAAGATCTCTGGTTCTTGTCACATCGGAGCCTCAAATTGAACTCAACGACTGACAGACTGCCTTGTGGAACAGTTCTAGGGGTCCCCTATCTACCGAATAGGCACGAGCACGGCACCCAATACCGCTACTCCAAGTCTACCTATTGCGTTGTCATTGTACGAGTACTGACATTGGATACACTTAGCCCTACTCCACCATGCTTACTGGTTTCTTCGCGAAGGTCGCGGCCACGGGAGGTAACCAGGCCCAGTGGGGGACTGCTCCCGTGGTGGACAGCACTTGTGAGACGCGGACTTCGGTCCTCCCAACAGGCCTCCGGGATGAGGGGCTTCTCGCTGTCGGGGGTGTGCAAGACTCACCAGCCGCCCCCAAAATCTTAGGATACAAGAGAAAGAAAGGCTGAGTTTGATCACTCGTTTCTGGGTGATGTCACGGGACTATTTGACCAAGGCCACGGAGGGTCCGCGTACGCGGTGGACAGTTTAGTGAGGTACGGACTCCGGTCCTCCCGATGCCTTAAGGCTGAGGGGCTTCTAGCTGTCCAGGGTGTGCATGGTTTACCAACCACCCTCCAAGATTTGGAAACGGGTGGATGAATTGATGAATTGCTCTCACTATGATCACTCGTTTATGGCGGTGTCGCGGGAACCAGCAGTCAGGTCCAAGGAGTGTCTACTCGGGCGGTATGGACAGTCTTGTGAGGCACGAACTCCAGTCCTCCCAATATGCCTCTGGGCTGAGGGGCTTCTATCTGTCTGGGGTATTTACCTACCACCCCAAGGTCTTGGGACACAAACGGAAGAAAGGCAGCCTTGCTAAATGGGATCGACGGGTTAACCAGTGTCTAATCTAGAAGCAAGGACAGGTTCCGCGTGTCGGCAGGTTCGAGCGCCATGACGATTGTCGATTGTTCCAGCGATTAGCCAGTCCACAAGCAACATGAAAGAGGTCCCGCGTGTCGGCGGGATCAAGCGTCATGATAATTGTTAAAGTGCATGTGTGTTGCACGAGCGAGAGTGAAGTCTGAGCGCTATCAGGATCTTTAAAGCATTGCCCGTTGCACCAGCAAGGACGAGAACTGAGCGCTATGATGAGTCTTCGAGTAGTGCCCGTTACACGAGCAGGAACAAATTCTGAGCGCTATGATGACTTCTATGTTATTGCCTGTTGCATGAGCAAGAACGAGGTCCCGCACATCATCAGCAGAATCACACGCTATGAAAATAATCAGTCAGATGATCCGCTCTTCAGAATGCTTTTGATGCCATCATCCAGACTCCTCCTATTCGGATCGGCCGCCACGAGATAATCAAATAAGCGATTGGGAAATCGACAAGTACAAACAGGAGGCCCCGAGCCGGTCCTATGAAAGTCTATACCCTCGTTTTCTTACATTTCCCTACACAAATGATCGATAACAGGTTGGTTTCTCTCGCTTTTTGAATATAGCCTGCATCGAACTCTTATGCAACAGAGGCCCTTAAAGTGCTGATCTGGTCGAGTCTAAGTACGCACTACTCCGCAGTCCAACAGCTCTATCGCGGATTCTGCCATTCCTAGCGCCAGTCTCGCTCTCGTTTGGCACGTCAGATTCAGGGGGGCGAAGATCATGGAGGTCGAGCCTTGCTTATCATATCTCCCCAGGGACGGTCACTACTCAGACATCATTGAAGGGTTTCTGGGGTAATAGGGGAATGTTCATTCACACTTCATTCCCTGACAATGGGATTGATCGATTGAAATGAGTCTATTAAGTCTATACCCTATACCTGGTATGTATGTATACTTTTAAGCTGCAATGATCCGAGAGGTTGGGAGAAGGGAATGAAACAAAGTTTAAGCATCTTCCACCCCCTTTCCCCCGCGCCGCCCTTTCTTTAGGGTGTGAAGCACATATACTATACTCGTCAACAGGCCCAACCCGCCTAAACCGATCCCCATATAAAATGCGCCGCGGTACCCAACCAACGTGTCATGGAACGTCTTCCCGCCGTGGTTGACATGCACCTCGACGGTTCCCGCGAATCCTAGACCTAACGAGATACTGTAATTCACGATCGTGCACACCAGTGACGCCGCAACGCCCTGGTGCTCTCTGCCCACGGCGTCACTCAGCACAACCGTCGCAGCAGGGAAGGACATGTCCATCCCGAAGGGGATGACGATGAGCGTAACGAACGAGAGCGCCCAGTACGTCTGATGCACGGGCATAATAGCTGAGAACACATTGCCCAGAGTGAACGCCACCATGGCCATGACCATGATCCACCCGGGGTGCAGGCGACTCAGCAGGTGGCCTGTCGAGAACGCAGCGATGATCCCCATAACCGTGGGCGGGAGGAACTGCACGGACGCAAGGATGGGATGCACTCCGCGGATGTCCTCTAAAAACCGCCAAAAGTAGTAGATCCAGATGCCGAAACTGGCCCAGCCGCAGGCGATGCAACCAAGAATAAACGAGACGTCCGCATTCAGGGCGTGGAAAGGGATGAGCGGATTACTCGAGAAGCGGATCTCCCACACGAAGAAGCCGGCAATGATCAATAGGCCGATGATCAGCAGAATGTATACGTAGGGCTGCTCCCAGCCGACGACAGGGGCTTGGTTCCAGGCGATGTTGACGAGGACGAGACCTGTGACGCCCAGGGTTGCGCCGATGAGGTCCATCTCGGCGCAGAGGGCTCGGAAGGAGAGGGTGCCGATGCGCGGATCTCTGGGCTCGGGCGGGATGGCGTAGATGCCCAGGATAGCCAGCACGAAGCACCAGATGGCCATCGACCACCAGATCCACGGCCACCAGGCGAGTTGGGCGAAGACGGCGGCGAAGATAGCGCCGATGACGGAGCCGTTGGGGGCCATAGCGCCGAAAAGAGCGAAGACCATATGCTTCTTCTTACCAGGGCGGTAAGTAGCACCGAGGATGGCCAAGCCGTTGGGAAGCAGCATGGCAGGGCCCAGGCCTTGGAGTGTGCGTGCGAAGATGAAGAGGATGTAATTGGAGTAGACGCTCACGCCGGCGACCATGGACCAGAGCGCGAACCACAGGAAGCCGATGATGAACATGAGGCGGTACCCGAAGAGATCGCCCAGTCGGCCAAAGAAGAGAATGAAAGTGCCGACGGTGAGCGAGTAGCCTGCAATCAGCCAGCTCAGAATGCCTGGCTGCGTGATGTTGAGTCCATCGCCGATGATGTCCAGCGGTGCAAGACACACTCCCAACGCGGCTTGGGTCATGAACTGTGCCATGCATACCACCAACACAAAGATGAGCTCGTGGATTGGATTCCAGTGATCTGCGGCCGAGCGCATGGATTCGGTTCGCGTGAGGTCGGAGTCCTGTGGACGGTCATCTTCACTTTCTCCGTTAATGGAGTGCTTGGTCGAGCTCGACAGCGACATCTTGCGGCCTGGAATATCAGGCAGCGAGGCGGGATCGTTTCCCAACGTCGGATCTGCGAGGCGAATTGAAGCTGTTGTCGATGGCGCGCGCTGATTCTAAAAGGTCGATTTTGCCAGATATAAGGATGTTGACCACTTTGAGGGTGAGTTTTCTGACTCGGAGCAGAGTCAAATCCAGGTTGAAAAGAGCTGGGGTCGAGAGGGCTGAAGTAAGAAGTCATTCAGCATCCAAGTGGGAGATGTGGGGCATGTGGGACTCTCGCAGCAGTGGGAAAGTGGGAGCACTCAAGAGGATTACTCGTGGGTGAGGTGGAAGGAATCCCTCTTGAGTCAGTCGAGGCAAGGAAAGCAGACTCCTCTCGATAACATATGCATTGATGGAGAGGGTCATCTGGTGTTCGCCATCGCAGGCCTGAAGTCCTCATCGGATTACTGGCCAGTGACATCACCGACGGAGGTTAACTGAGTTAAAGACTCTCCTAGACCTGAACCGATCACTTCCTTCGCGGGCCCCACTACCCTTCTTGGACGGCAAAATCGAAGGGTCCGGCCACTGCTGTCTGCGATTCGCAATTTTATCGATTTTTGCCAATCCAAGAGATCATGTGGGGTTGCAAGATGATCTCTTCCAAACTGGAGCGGTCGGAAAGAACCTCGAATACATTCTATTTGCAGTACCTCCGCATATGGTGGCCCTGCGCTTTCCCAACTGCAACCGGCTCATACACCGACAACATATATATTGAAAAGGCACAGGATGCAGCATACCACTATGCTAAATAGCAGAACAGTTACCGAGGGTCAATAAAAGAACCAGAAGCAAGGAGTAGAAGTAGGGTAGAGTTACATATCCTAGTGAATATGGGACTGGTCGTACTAGGTATATTGAGAAAGGAGGAAGACGGCCCGCATTGCTATGTACTCTACAGCGAGTTGCGCTGGCGCACTGACGGGACGCCCGGAAGCCATTTCCTAATCCGCCCCATATCGCGGCCTGGCGGCCTGAGTACCTGAATGCCTGAGGCAGGGAATCACGGGTCTAACACGGGATGACCGGAAAGGGTCTAGTCGCGGTCACGCGTGCTAGGCCAGATTTTTCTCCACGTATCATGGTGGACAGGCAGCTGCAGAGCCAGTAACTACTCAGCAACTTGCACTTACAACAATCCACACTGCTCAACGCGCACGCAAAGCACCAGGATTGTGATTGATCATGTCTCAGGCAACAGAGCTGTAAGCATACTACTACACTTTCTGTCTCCCAATTTGGCCGCAATTGCGAAATGATACGATTTTTCAATCCAGAACATCGGTCGACCACTGCGATGATGTCATGACCACACCGCCGGCAGTGAGTGGAAAGAAACAGTCTCTTGCAGCAGGATGAGGCACGGCGACGTTTCTTATTCGCGCTAGGTACACGTCTTGATCTATCAATTCTAATGAGTCTAGCTCATCGGGGCATCTCCCCCGCTTAGACCATCTCATCATGCGCCGTCTCCACTCCTTTCTCCCCTGCCTCCGCCCCGCCAGTCTTCTGTCGCTGACGCTCAATCTCATCGCCGAATCGGTCGGGCAGCCGCGATGTCTTCCAGGCCGGCAAGTTAGCCTCGAACATTAAGTCGATATCCTCCAAAGAACGACCAGCTGTCTCCGGGAAGGTGAAGAAGATGTGGATGGTCATGACTGTGCAGAAGACGCCGAAAATGATATACGTCTTCCACTGGATGTTCGTGAAAGCCGGCGACACAAAGTAGGCTAGCGCGAAGTTGAAGATCCAGTTACCCGCGGCCGACAATCCTACACCCTTGGCGCGGTACTTGAGGGGGAACACCTCCGAGGCGTAAATCCATCCAGCAGGGGCCTATTCATTGTCAGAATGGTTCGGCATTTGCGAGAGGCTGTCTACTTACCCAAGTGAGACCATAGATACCAACGAAGATGTATGAACAAGCGATGACACCCTTACCAGGGGCACCGGTGATCGACCACTTCAGATTCGAATTGCCATCCACTGAGTCGACGTGGTGACCGTAGCTGGCCATGATACCCGCAATCGCAAAGTGG